TTTAGGGTTTAAGGTTTGGATGAGTATGGGGTATGGGGTTTAGGGTTTAGGGTTGGGATGGGTATGGGGTTTAGGGTTTAGGGTCTGGGATGTGCAGGGCTTAGGGCGTCCCAAGTGCCGTGCCCCGACCCACCCATAGAGTGCAAAGGAGTCGAGTGGCCATTGTTCTTTGGATCCCATCCCAAAACCATCCAGACAGGGACCTCGTAGTGGTTTAGGGTTTGAGGTGTTGGGGCTCGTACCCGGCAAAAACAAACCTTCTGCCCTGGCCCTTCAGCGGAGAGTTTGTCTTGTAGACCAGATTATGAATTGAGGAAGGGGCGGTGGAAGTCTCCAGCAGATCCGACAGGCCAACAAGTTGGGAGATTAGGTTGATGCAGCCGCCTCCCCCCCAAAAAGGCCTTGCTAGTTTAGGATTAGATTAGGTTGATGCAGCGGCCTCCCACCAAAAAAGGCCTTGCAAGTGGTGTAGGATTTGGTGCTTGGGATTTAGGTCTGAGGGCTTGGGATTTAGGGTTGAGGCAATGGGGGCTAGGATTTAAGAGTTTGGGCTCTTTAACCCCAAGGGCCCGAGCATGGCTTTGGGAAGTATAGGCACCCTACCTGACATCAAAATCTAGAAGCTCCAACCTACTGGGCTCCGGGTTAAAGGGTTTCAAGGTTGAGGGTTAGGGTTCAAGGTTCCAAGGTTTAGGGTTTCAAGGTTTAGGGTCGAGGGTTGAAGGTTTCAAGGCTTAGAGTTACCTACAACCATCCAGCCACAGGCGCTCGAACTACTCTATAGACTCCTAGACCACCCAAATATCCAGTTCCTGCCCACTATTTGGATTGGAAAGGTTATTGTGGTAGGTAGTTGGGGTGTGATGTCTAGGTAGCAGCTATCTAGGTAGCAGCTAACAAGTTCCCGGACACCAGCCGAGAAGATTCCTCAACGCGCCCCTACCGATGGAATCTGCACTGGAGCTCTTGCAAACAACTATTGTGCAGCTGTTTCTGCTGTTTGCGGGGGGGGGGGGG